AAGCAGTGGTAAATGGACCTCCAACAAAGTGGTACTAACTCACACTCCTAGGAACAATATAAGATAGCATCCATTTCCCTTCACCCTCCACATTTCATGTAACTAATGTTTTAAAATTCTGCAAATGTGATGGTTGGCATGTGGGGGAATGTTAGGGAAAGCCTCCCTTACATAAACACTGAGGGTACAGGGCTGGTGTTCCCTAGGAGCCTTTTGTACGTCAGGCCCTCTGGGAACATAGAGATGAATGAGACTCAGATGTGCGTGAGATGGGGGTGGGAAAAGGAACAGGACACTTACAACAGAGAGGGATAGAGGGAAGCTTTAGGACTCTGGGAGAACTCAGATAGGGCACTCACTCAGTCTTAGGTGATGGAATGGGGGGTCATTGAAGGTTTCCCAGAGGAGGGAAAGCTTTAAATGACTGAGGAAAAAGCCAGGAACAGCATCCCAAGAAGAAGTCCAATGACTCACAATAGAGCAAGTTTGTGCAACTGCAAGAAATCAGACCTTGCTTTCTGTTCTTTGATTTAGTGGAAGTCAAGTTTAGCCCCAAGGTGGCATAACGGGATTAGAAAATTGTGCCTTAGTGATAACCAGAGCACTTTAACTCGGTTCTCTAGAATCCTGATTCAGTGTCAGGGGCCAGGCTGAGTCCTTGGGAACCCTCCCGTGCTCTGGCCCTCTGGGAAGCCCCAGTGTATGTCGGCAGCCTTATCTAGAGCTTCTGAAACTTATCAGGGGGTTGAGGGCAGTAACAACCTCCCCACCTCCAGAGACCTGTGCTGCAAGACACCATTCACCCATAGTTTGGCTGTAGAAGTGGGAAACTTTAGGCAGGATAAGGAGCCTGTGGTGTCAGGTAATGATTTAGGAGATGTAGCCATCAGAGATCCATGGGGAAAATAGCCTCTCCATGCAGCACTGCCCTCAGGGCCCCTGCACCCAGTTTTTCTGGTTGGCACAGAATGCAGCTGAGAGTATGACCAATCCACTAAATGTTATACCATCACAGGATGTAAGAGATGAACTGTTCAAGGGCTTCATTTTACAGATGGGGAAACTGAGGCTTGGAGAGAGGAAGAAAGGGACTTGTCTAAGCTGGCATAGAGAGTTGATGGGTCCCCCAGGTTGAGAGAACGGGAACAGAGGTATTTGTAGTCAGATGGTCTGCGAGATGGTCTGTGTGACCGGGACTGACAGATGAAAACATGTCTTCCCCTAGAGCTGAGAGGATCCAGGAACAAAAGGCCTGTGCAAAGAGGAAGGTTGGTGGGTCCAAATGGGTCATCAAGACAAGGAGGGCCTGAGCTAGTGCTCTTCTGAAGGTATAATGTGGATGCTGTGCCTGTGTGTGAGTCAGGCTCTGGTGTGTGGTGAAGAGGAGCTTCTGGGCCTGGGCTTTGTGTGTGGAAGGTACGAGGGAGGGTGGTGGTGGTGAGTAATAGAGGTGAGGGCTCCTTGTCGCCAATTCCTGCTCCACATCCACTTGTGTTTCTGCTGCCAAGTTATGCCCTCTGCTTACTCACCCAGATCGGTTGGAAGGTGGCACCATCCCATCCAAGGGGGTGCTCCCTCCAAGCACTGTTGTGGAGGGAAAGAGGGAGCGAGGCAGCCTCAGAGATTTGTTCCTTGGGCCTGGGGCCCCTTCAGCAGGGGCAGGGGTTTTGTGTGTCATGATTTCTCATGCAATCCCACACCCCTGGCCCTGCCAACTCTCGCCCAGACCAGATTTGTTCCTGGATTGCAGAAGAGCCCTCAGCACCTGCAGGAAGACTGCACCCAACCCATCCACTCTTGCTGGTTGGGAAGCTTTGGGCTCCATGCTGGAGGGAAATAAAAGGGATAATACTCACTCACCCTTGTCCCATATTGAAGAGTGTAGGCACAATAAAGGCTTAATGAAAACCTGCTCGTTGACTCATTTATTCAATAGACATTTATTGGGGCCCTGCTGTATCTGAATGGAGCCCTGGTGGCACAGTGGTTACGAGCTCGGCTGCTAACCAAAAGGTCAGCAGTTTGAATCCACCACCCACTCCTTCGAAAGCCTGTGGGGCAGTTCTACTTTGTCCTACAGGGTCGCTATTAATTGATTGTATCTGAAGCCCTATGTCAGGTGCTGGTGGTTCCAGGACAAACAAGGCACAGCTCCTGCCCCCGAGATGAAAGTCTGGGAGGGAGCACTTATGCAAGTTACTTGACCAGAGGTGACAGTTCAGTGTGTAAAATGCCATGATGGGGAACTGAGCTGGGTATGTTTGTATGCACAGTGGAGGAACATGCGACCAAAGGCTGGGGTGATATGGGCACAGGGATGGACTACTTATGGGGGGGAGCAACACCAGAGACCAGGAGGAGAAGCGGAAGGCCCAGTAGGTAGATAATCGTTCTAGAGGTCACTCCTAAGTGCAAAGGTCCTGAGGCAGAGCAGAACTGAAAGTCCCTTTTTTGGAACTGAGGGATGAGAGGCAATTCCTGGATGGAAAGGGCACTCTTACAGAATCATCTCGTTTTGGATCTGAGTGATCCAGAGAGAAGTCTTCGTTCGGAGTCTGCATGTGTCCTGGACTCCTGTTCCTGTGCAGTTTTCTACAGTGTGCACACTAGGTCTTCTAAACACACCACCTCTAGGGACTAAATGGGGGAGATCAGTGTAATGCCCACCTATGCTGTCCCCCAGAAGCCAATGACCAGGGACTTGTCCTGTGGCCTAGAGGAGTAAAGGACCAGTGCATATTGGGAACACTGATACGAGTTTATCTGGAGAAAAATTAGAACAACATATAGAAGTGCTGGATTTCTAGCAGGAGTGAAGAGGGAGAATTGTGAGGACGGGACCTAGGAAGCTAGCAACTGAGAGAAAGGGTGGAAGGCGAAAATGAGAGTATTCGGTCCTTGACATAAAGGATATGGCCTCTGTACTGCATCTAGCTGGGGTAACATCACCCACAACCAGAATTTTCTTAGAAAACTCTGTCCCTTGATATGCCTCTCCTCCTGGAGAACAAGCGCTTTGCCTGAGTTGGTTTTTTGAGTATTAGAACACACATGGGTCACTGGGAGCTCCTGAGAGGAGGAGGCAGGGTCCCAGGTCAACTATATTAAAAGTCACGGCTGCCATTTACTGGAGGCCTACTCTGTCTCTGATACCCTGTCATGTGAGTTACATAAATTGACACATCTTTTCAACAGTCCTGCAAGTGAGTGTCAGTCAAGATTTACAGAACAGCAACCTGAGACTAGACTTCAAATGACTTGCCCAAGGTCACAGAGCTGATTAGAGACAAAGCTGGCACCAGACCTGAGGCCTAAGATGAGGGTATACCCTGTACCACTCTGGCACCTGAGATCCCCTCCCAGCCCGAGTTCAGCCTTCTCTCTCCTCCTCCCAGCACTCAGACATACCTATGTTCTTAGTTTTATTATGGATTGCTGTATAACTAATTACTCCAAAACTTAGTCATTTAAAATAATACACATCTATTATCTCAGAGTTTCTGTGGGTCAGGAACCTGGGAATGGCTTAGCTGGGAAGTGCTCTACTTCCCAGTCTCTCATTTGGTTGCAGTCAAGTGTCAGCTCAGGGCCTGTGATCATTTGAAGATTCGAATGAGAAAATATCCACTTCCAAGCTCACTCATGTGGCTATTGGCAGGATTCATTTCCTCATGGGTTGTTGGTCTGAGGGCCTCAGTTCCTCACTGACTGTTGGCCAGATACTGCCATCAGCTCCTTGCCAGGTGGCTCTCTCCATTAGAGCATGCACACAACAGGAGCCAGGGAGGGAGAGTGAATGCCAGCAAGATGGAAGTTAAGGGATTTTACAGTTTACTCTGCTGTCGAATGGCTGCTGGTCAGAAGTAAGTCACTAGAGGGAGGAGACTACACAAGGGCGTGAGTGTCAAGAGGTGGGGATCTTTTTTTTAATTTTTTTTTTATTGTACTTTAGACGAAGGTTTACGGAACAAATAGTTTCTCATTAAACAGTCAGTACACCTATTGTTTTATGACATTGGTTAACAACCCCACGACATGTCAACACTCTCCCTTCTCAACCTTGGAGGACCTTTTTTTTTTTTGATGAAAATATACATAGCCAAAGATACATCATTTGAAAAATTTCTACATGTACAATTCAGTGACATGGATTACATTCTTCCAATTGTGCTGCTATTCTCACTATCCTTTTCCAAATTATTCCATCACCATTATCTTCAACTCATTGCCCCCAGGCTTTCCATCAAACCTTCTGAGTTGTTGTCAATTTGATTTCACATAGATAATTCTTTTTTTTGTACTTTAAATGAAGGTTTACGGAACAAATAGTTGTTCATTAAACAGTTAGTATACATATTGCCCCATGACAATGGTTAACAAGCCCATGACATGTCAACACTGTCCCTTCTCAACCTTGGATTTCTTATCACCAGGTTTCCTGTCCCCTCTTGCCTTCTAGCCCTTGTCCCTGGACTGCTGTGCCTCATTAGTCTCATTTTGTTTTATGGGGCTGTCCAATTCCCGGTTGAACGGTGTGAGAGCCATTTTAGAAGTTGGTCTACCACACGTGCTCTCGGGCCCCTACCTCACTATAGTGAGCCCCTTTGGGTATCAACAGCCTTGATGGAGTTAATGGTTGATGGGTCACCTTGAACAGTGCTGTGGGATCTGCTGATTCTCTTTCAGTAGGCCCATTGGATGGGTCTCCCTAGGGCTCAGATCAACCTGGTCCTGCCTTCCTCCCCATCTTCATCAGCCACATCTGGTCACTGGTCCCATGGGATATGACAGCAGCTGACAAAGTGCAGAGCCCCTGGCAAGTGGAACCCTCTCCTCACTTGGGGAGGGTTGGGACCCAGGATGGTGCTTCTGGCCTCCCCTGGTAAAACAGAGACCAAGTGCTCAGATCCCCCACTGAGACAGGGCTCAACCTCAGGAGAACAAGGCTATAGGTGGGAGAAGGCTGGGTCCTGGGTATCTGTCAAAGCTGATGAGATGTTCTAACTTTTGCCCTCTGGGTTGGGATTCTGGGTCGTAGAATCCCCCATGTTCAGCGGGATGCATCGGGAAACATTTCTAAAGCCACATGAAAGCACCCATGCGTGAGAGGGAGCCAGTGTGAAGCCATGTGGAGATGCAGGATTATTCAGATACCTACGGAGGGGCCCCACTCTAGGGAGGAGTTGAGTGAGTGTAGATTGGGGGTGCTTTATATGTATCCATAACATGTAACTCAAAAGAAGAGAGACCTCTGGAACACTCATGGCAAACTGTTGGTAAATAGGGGTCATGGATGCCATATTAGTCTCTCTATTTTTCTGTAGGTTTGAAATGTTACCTTAGAAAAATACTCTAAACGTGGGAAACAGGAAAGTAGGTAGGGTTCTCAGGGTCCCTGCACATCATGTTTCCCCAGTGAGGTTCAGAACCAAATGCAGGCAAATGCAGGGGCCTGGTGGGCTCAGGAGGTTCCCAGTAACCAAATAGTTCCATTAGGCCCAGGGGGTAGGGACTATAGGAGTGTCTGACTCCCCTGGCAGAGCCTTAGCCAGAAGCTGAACAGTCCTAGAAAATCCCATTCTTTTCCCAGTTCCTGGAAGCACTCAGCAGACTCAGCTATTCCCCTGCTGCTATTTTGTTGCAACACATATCAAGAACAGCTTGTAAAGGGACCTGACCTAATATGAGATAAAGAATGAGGCCGTGTGTGTGGGGCTCTCTTCAAGGGTAGGGTGGGGGTGTTTATGGTCAGATTGTTTTTGGATCTTGCAACATTGTCTCTCCCTCTGACTTCATGCCCCTACCCCTCTGCCAGCTTGCCCACTCCCCCACCACCGGGGCTATCACCTATTCACTGCCCCTCAACCACCCTGTAAGAAAGGTTTGAAGAGTCCTGGGCTTGGCAAAGGACATGATGCCTTACTTGTGCTTGCATGGAATTGCCCCCACAAGGTAAGAGCTTAAAACGATAGAATAATTACTGCCCATCAAACACAGTCCTATCTGAACAGATACTGAGGAGAAAGCAATACTTCCCCAAGGCACCAGGGATACCACTCATATGGCTAAGAAATATGGTAACTCCCTCTCTCTACAAACCCATGACCACCAAATCTGACAACCATTTCAATTCACCTGAGGCTGGTAACAGTTTTGAAAGTTACATCAAATGTCATGAAGCAGAAGGAGTCAAGAGTGACAGCATTTATTTCAGGCCCATCAACAGAGAAACAGGGGAGGGCAGGGGCATGTGGCAGCAGTGAGGCTTGATCACCATTCATGGGTCTGTGCCTGCAGCTCCTGAGGTCTCAGGCCATGGAGTTTCCGAGTATCTGGTATCCTCCTCTGCAAAGGCAAAGCAGAGTGACAACTAGACCCTTGAGATCCCTGGGAAATTCAGGAGGCCTGAGGGTCCTCTTGGTCTAGCAGGAAGGGGAAGCAAGTGGGCTGTGAGCAGTCAGAGAGGCAGAGGCTGACTCCGAGTTCTCACCTGAAGGACATGGTGAAACATGCCAGGGCTCTCTGGAACTGAGTCCTCCAAGACCCTTGGGGACCAGCAGGCTCCCTGGTCAAGCTTGTGCCATTGGGTGGATTCTCCGTGGTGTCAGACAAAACAACAAATTCTTCAGTGTCTGTAAGTAGGCCTTTCACATTCTGCACAAAAAAGTAAATAGCCTCAACCTAGAGGTCCCTGCCAGCCGTGACATTCATTATCTAATTCAACAAGTAATATGTGCATCCCAGGCCCTGTTCCAGGCCCTGGGCATACGGCAGTGAACTCTACAGACAAAACTCACTCTTGTGGAACTGACATTCCTCCACAACAATGGAGGGAAATCAGACTCACCAGCTCAGGAGGTGGAAGGCAGTGAAGATCATGCTTCCAACAGAGTGTGATGTCAACTGGAAGAACGTAATTGATGTCACTGAATTGTACCTGTAGAAAGTTTTGAAATGGCGTATCTTTGGCTATGCATATTTTCACCAAAAAAAGAAAAAAGGTCCTCCAAGGTCGAGAAGGTAGAGTGTTGACATGTTGTGGGTTTGTTAACCAATGTCATAAAACAATATGCATACTGACTATGTGATAGAAACCATTTGTTCTGTAAACCTTCATCTAAAGTACAATTTAAAAAAATTTTTAAAAAATGAGTGTGATGTGCAGGTAGTGACCAAGTGGACTTCCTTGAAGAGACCAACTGAGCTCCTCACTTTGCTGGGTGAAAAGAGGCTAAGGGCCTGTCCCTCTCACCCCCCTCCATCTGCTCTGCCCCCACCCTGGCTTTCCTCCCTCCTGTGGTTGAGTGCACTGTGTTCAAGCAGTGGATACATTTGTGACATGTGACGTCCCCTGTCCCTGTGTCTCTTACTCCCACCATTCAAATCTCTCTTTTTTTCTTTCCCCAGATTTATGCTTGCTGAACAGAGAAGAGGTGTTCAGGAAGATGGTGAGTTGTCATTTGGAGTGAATGCCATGGACAGGGGTGTTTAATTGGGTCCCTCTCCACCTTTAGATTCACAGGATTATGTACAGCAAAGCCTCAAAGAGATGTATGGGTCCAAACTGGTCTTCAAAGCCAGAAGGGCTTGAACTGGGTGATGGCATCCAGAGTCCAAGTCAACAGCACAGGTTGTCCTCTAGAGGGTTATGTAAGATGCTGTGTTTGCATGTCAGTCAGCATCTAGTGGGTGGTGGACAGGTGGGTTTTGGCCTGGAGGGCTTGGAAAATGTGAGCAACAGAGGGGACGTTCCCTGGGCTGGGCTAAGTGAAAAGGAGAACAGCTGAGATGAGAGACTTCTTGTTGACAAGTCATACTATATTAAATCTCATCTTTCATGCTTGTGTTTCAAGGGATGTTGACAAGTTGCATCCCCTGTTTGCCAACCAGATCTGTGAGGAGACCATGCCACCAATTTCAAGGGAATTCCCTGAAAACAGTACCCTGAAGGTAAAGAGGTGGCAAGTGGCTTCAAAGCCTTTGGTTTAGTTTTTGAAAAAAGAATGGAAATAATCTCTTACTTAAACTGTGAAGATACAGGGCTGATCATTTCTGGGAATGTGGAAGTGAATGAGACTCAGCTTCTGCAATCATTCTGTGGGTGTGAGGCCAAGAAAGCGATGATTACAACAGAGAGTGATGGAAGAAAGTTTAGGGGGCAGTGGGAGGACTGAGGAGGAAAACCTACCAAGCCCTGGGAGTTGGAATAGAGTCAGAGATGCTTTCCCAGAGGAGGCATGCCTACAATGAGTGAGGAAGGAAGTTGGCCAAGCAAACAGAGAGAAAGAGGAGCACTGCAAGCAGAAGTCCAAGACAATTAAGTGAGTTTGTACATCTGAAAATAAATAGACCTAAGTTTCTGTTTTAGGGATTAGTAGAAGTCAAGGTCAGCCGTGAGGCTGCAGTATGGGGTTAGAAAATTGTGCCTCACAGAGACACTGAGCTCTGGTATTCTGAGGAACTATTGTTTTAATGTTGATAACAGTCCATTAATTTTTTTTCACTTTGTGATTCATGCTTTTTGTGTTAGGACACAAACACACACACACACTAAGGTACCTTTGCCTAACCCCACAACCTATGACAAATATTTTCTCCTATACCTTCTCGTACACTTTTTACCTTCTTACACCTTATATTTAGGTCTATGACTCGTCTTGAGTCAATTTTTGCATGTAGTGTGAGGTAAGTATTGAAGTTTATTTTTTTTTTCCACATGGATATCCACTTTTTCCAGCACTATTGGTTAAAAAAATTTTCCTCTTTCAATTTAGTTATTTTAGCAACACTTGTGGATCTAATTCTGGACTTTTTATTTTATGCACTGATCCATATATCTACTCTTATGGCAATGCCACACTGTGGTGATAACAATAGCTTTATATTAAGTTGGGAAATAAGGCAGTGTAAGTCCTCCATTTTGTTGTTTTCCAAATGGCTTCGACTATCCTATGTTCTTATCTAAGGAGCCCTGTTGATTAAGCGTCCGGCCGCAAACAGAAAGGTCAGCAGTTCAAACCCACCAGTGGCTCCCCTGGAGAAAAGACTTAGCAATCTGCTCCAGTAAAGATTACAGCCTAGGAAATCCTATGGGGCAGTTCTACTCTGTCCTATAGCGTTGCTATGAGTCAGAATTGACTCGACAGCATACAACAACAATGTCCTTTGCATTTCCTATAAATTTGAGAAACAGCTTTGCATTTTAATTGTGATTGCGTTGACTGTAATAATCAATTGCTAGAGAATTGACATCTTAACAATTTTGAGTCTTTTAATCCAGGAACATGGTATACCTTCACTTATTTAGTTCTTCTTTAATTTTTCCCAGCAACGTTTTATAGTTATCTAGTACAGCTCTTAGAGGTCCCTGGGTGGTGCAAACAGTTTTCAGTTGGCTACTAGCCGAAAGGTTGGCTGTTCGAACCCACCCAGGCGCGCCGTGAAAGACAGGCCTGGAGATCTGCTTCCATAAAGATTATAGCCAAGAAAACATTATGGAGCTTGGACCTACTCTGTAACACATGGGGTCGCCATGAGTCAGCATGAAATCAACCGCAACCGGTTAGGTTTTTCAGTACAGATTCTTGCACATGTCATGTTAAATTTCTCAATAGATATTTCATTTATTTTACTCCTATTGGAAATGACATTTAAAAACATTTATATCTACAATTATTGGTTGTCAATATATGGAGATACAATGGATTTTTGTATATTGACTTTCAATTCTGTGGCCTTGTTAAATTTCTTAGTGGATCTAGTAGCTGATTTTTCTAAATTAGTTAGTATTTCCTATGTGGACAATCATGCCATGTGTGAGTAAATATAGTTTTACTTCTTCCTATTAATTCTGTATGCTTTTTTTTTCTTTTTCTTTCCTTATTGCACTGGCTAGGACCTCCAATATAATTTTGAATAGACATGGTGAGAGTGGATATTTCTGCCTTATTACTAATATTAGAGGAGAAGCATTGAGCCTTTCACCTTTAAATATGAAGTTAAAAAGAAAAAAATCCAGTTGCTGTTGTGTTGATTCTGACTCTTGGCAACCCCATGTGTGCCAGAGGAAAACTGTGCACCATAGGGTTTTCAATGGCTGATTTTTTGGAAGTAGATCACCAAGGCTTTCTTTTGAAGTGCCTCTGGGTGGACTTGAACCTCCACCTTTTCAGTCAGCAGCCCAGCACGTTAACTGTTTGCACCACCCAGGGACTCCGTGTATAATGTTAGCTGCAGGTTTTTCCTAGAAACCTTTCAGGATGTTCCCTTTATTCCTAATTTGTCAAGAGTTTCTATCATGAATTGGTGTTTGATATGATGAAATGCTTTTGCTGTCATTTCTTATGATTAATCATTGTTTTATTTCTTTTTTTCTATTAATATGGTTAAATACATTGACTGATATTTTATGTTAAGACAACCTTCTTGGTAATGAACTATTATACATTTTATATATTGTTTGATTCAAATTGTTAAAATTCTATTAGGGATTTTTGCATCTATGTTCATGAGTTATATTGGTCAGGATTTTTTTTAATGTTTTTTTCAAACAAGTAATGCTAGTCTCAACAAAATTAATTAGGAAGTGTCCTTTCCTCCTGTATCTTCTGAAAAAGTTCTTGTAGGATTGTTAATATTATTTTTTAAATGTTTGATACAGTTCACCAGTGAAGCCAGCTAAGACTGGAGTTTTTCTTATGGGAATTTTTTAAATTAAAATTCATTTTTTAGTGTTCACATATAGAAACTAAAATATATGTATATAGTAGAATATCTCTACAGTCTTACATATGTACTCATGTACTTTGGACATGTTATCAGGAGGGGTTAGTCCCTAGAGAAGGTAAAGTATGGGGTCATCGAAAAAGAGGAAGGCCTTCCATGAGATGGATTGACATGGTGACTCCAACAATGGGCACAAACATAACAGCAATTGTGGGGATGGTGCAGGACCAGGCAGTGTTTCGCTCTGCTGTACATGGGGTCACTATGAGTCGGAACTCACTCAGTGGCACCTAACAACAACAACAAGAGATATTCTACTTTTTAAATAAAGTTTTGTTCTTTTGTGCCTGTTAAGAAATCTGTCCATTTCATCAAGGTTGACAAATTTATTGGAATAAAGTTATTCAAAATATTCCCTTAATATCCTTTTAATGTCTATAAGATTTGTCTTGATAGATACACTTTCATATATGATATTGGTATTTTATGTCTTCCTCCTTTAGTTGTGATCAGTTTGGCTAGAGTTTTCTCAATTGTGTTGGTATTTCAGAGAACTCATTTTTTATTTCAACAATTATTTCTACAGTTGGTCTATTTTTTATTTTATTGCTTTCTGCTGTTTGTCGTTGCCTTCCTTGTAGTTACTTTGGATTTGACTTGCTCTTCTTTTTTTAGGTTTTTAAAGTGGAATCTTGTTGTTGTTGTTAGGTACTGTCGAATCAGTTCCAACTCATAGCGACCTGTATACAACAGAAGGGAACAATACCAGGTCCTGTGCCGTCCTCACAATCGTTGCTGTGTTTGAGCCCGTTGTTGCAGCCACTGTGTCAATCCATCTCCTTAAGAGTCTTCCTCTTTTTCATTGACCCTCTACAAAGTGGAATCTTAGATCATTGATAGGATACCTTTCTTCTTTTCTAATATAGGCATTTAAAGCAATAAATTCCCTTCTAAACACTGTTTCGGCAGCATCTCACAAATTTTGATATGTTGTGTTTTCATTTTCATTCAGTTCAAAGTGCTTCCTAATTTCTTTTATGATTTCTTCTTATTCAAAAATGTCTTGCTTTATTTCCGAATATTTGGAGACTTTCCAGATATGTTTCTGTTATTGGTTTGTCATTTAATTTTGTCATGGTCAAAGAACCTGCCTGATTGCAGGGTCTACATGAAATATCCAACTTTATCTCTGGTGATATTCTTTGTCATGCAGTGTCTGATATTCTTACACCCACTCAGGTTTCTGATGATTCATGTTTTCAGGGTACATGTTTTTCCATCTGTTATGGATGGATTGTGTCCTCCCAAACTGTGTGTCAGCTTGGCTAGGCCATGATTACCAGTATTGTGTGATTGTCTATATGGGATCAAATTGACAACAGCAGCTGGAAAGATGAGATAGAAACCGTAGGGAGCAGTGAGTTTATGTTAAGGGAGGATGAACAACTCAGAAAAGGAGGATGAAAATGGTTGTACAACTCGAAGAATGTAATCAATGTCACTGAATTGTACATGTAGAAACTGTTCAATCGGTGTATGTTCTGCTGTGTATATTCTTAACAGCAACAGCATAAATAAGTAAAATTAAAAACAAACAAGAAATAAAATAAAAAAAGCAAGATTGTTTGGTCAAATGAATCCCTGCTTTCTGAGTCTTCATATGAGAGGTCTCTGCATCCCTTCATCTATGTTCTTACTCACTTGAGGCTCTTAACTTTCTGAAGAGGTTAGGGATGAAGTTAGTTGTGACCAGAGGTATTAGCCAGGCTACTGCCAAATTTTTGGGTGAAAATTTTGTTATATTTAAAAAATGATGGCCAGAAATAACCCCTATCCATCATCTTCTCCCCTGCCCCAACTTAAGATACAATTAACGATCTGATGCTGACTGCGGGATCATTGTGTTTTAAATGTTTTAGTTAAATTAAATCCACTAGACAGTGAAATTTTGAGATCAAAGTTAGTATCTTATGTGTATTTGATTCCAGAGCTCCTGTTACATTCCCTCTCATATGGAGGGTCCCCAATAAAGTTATTAAGTAATAAAGACATAAGTAAAAACAACAAGCATCTTGTTGGATTCACACAATGAAAAGTTGTACCTGACATCAGCAAAAATGGCAGAGTAAAGACTTCTGAAAATTCTCTCCTCCATAAAAGCAATGAGAAAAATGGAGAAATTGTCACAATAAATGTTTTCAGAACCCTGGAAATTATCCAAAAGTTTGTAGCAACCTGGGGATTGTTCATTCAAGACAAACAGCTGAATGTCAGTAAGAAGAGTGAGCTTTATGGAGTTTTAACTATTCCTATTCCCATCCCCCTCTCTCTACCTCTGTGGTAACCTTGAAAACCAACAGCCTGAGATCACTGTGAAAACCAGCAGCCCACCAGCCACCATAGGGAGCAGTAGAGAGTTGGAGGTCCTAAAATGCCTCATTTCACAGAGAATTGCCATTATTTGATCTGTCCCTGGAAGACCCCACTTGCAAAGCTCTCTTTATTTGACCAAACTAGGCTCTTGCCAAGTGTAAAAAGGCTATTCCCTGAGGGGCTTTTATCCAAGACATTTAGAGGTAATTGTTTAATGTAACAGTTATCTCAGGCAGAGGATTACACTTGAGGCAAACACTAGGCTAACCAAAAAGCATAAAAGGAAAAGTTGGATAATAAGATCTTCATAGGGGATTTGAAGAGCTCAAACATATTTCTGAGAATCTAGAAGACCAGACGAATGACCAGCGCTGTGGGCATGGTCAGGAAAGACCTGAGAAGGTAGTAAGCTCTCAACTTTTTGCAGCTCGGTGCAAGTAAAAATGAAAGTTAAAGTCAAGCTGTAAAGTGCCTGACTGAAGGTTGAAAGCATACCTACAGGGCACACAGAGCCCCTTGGCAAAGACTGGGAGACTTATCAGTTCCAGCCTTTTAAGGACATCTCTGTCCAGTCATTAGCTAACCACTAAACTAAACAAGCAGAGACTTCAGTGACCACATATGACAAAGGATACAGACCAACCAAACAACAGTAAGAACAACAACAAGAAGTAACTGTAGAATCTGGAGAGGGGGGCAATGAAAGCGAAGACACAATATACCAAAACTTATGACATACAGTGAAGGCAGTGTTTAGAGGGAAATTCATAGCTGTAAATGTATATATATGGAGCCCTGGTGGCGCAGTGGTTAAGAGCTCAGCTGCTAACCAAAAAGTTGGCAGTTCAAATCCACCAGCTGTTCCTTGGAAACTCTACAGGGCAGTTCTACTTTGTCCTGTAGGGTCGTTGAAATCGACTTGACAACAACAAGTTTGGTTTTTGGATTGGTTTTATATATATATATATATATGTATGTATGTATGAAAATTTCAAGTCTTTATAGCAAAAGGCCAGCTAATAAAAGTAGAAAGGAATGATATAATTAGTAAACTACCGTTTTTGAACCACCAAAGTAATAATTACTTCAGGCAAGAACCCTGAAATAAGAACTATGGCCAAGGGGTGAAATTTTGTTGCAGAACAGGACACTCACATGGTATTAAAACATCATCCCACAGAGTACTTATTAATCACAGAGGGGAAAAGGCACCTTTACAATGGAATAACCTGTGGGACAACACCTTAAATAAGTGATCAAACTGAGTATCACCAATAGCATCACAGATACCTATACAAATTGACGTTATGAGCCTCCAGATGTGATATAACGTGAACTACTCATCACCTAGTTAATATTCTTGCCCAAAAAAATGTTAAGCATAAAGCTAAGCAAGAAGAAAAAATCGGGGGAAAATCCATAATGTGGGACATGTTACAGGGCAACTGGCTTAGGCTCATGAAAAATATCAATGTCATGAAAGATTTTCAAAATTGGTTGGGGGACTGTTCTTGATTAGAAGACATGACAACAAAATGGCATGTATGCTACTTCATGAAATTCTGAATCCAAAAATTCACTCAAAAAAAATTATTAGGACAATTGGGGAAATTTGAATGTGGACTGCTGTATGTAGGCTTAGAGAATATTATCACATCAGTGTTAAATTACTTCAATGCAATCATAGTAGTGTGATAATACAGAAGAATATTCTCCTTCATAGGAGATATATGCTGAAGTAATTGGGTGACGTGTCGTGGTGTTTGGAAATAACTGTTAAACAGTTAAACTCGTTGCCATTGAGTGAATTCCGACTCATGGTGATCATATAGGACAGAGCAGAACTGCCCCATAGGGTTTCCAAGGCTGTAAATCTTTAGGGAAGCAGACTGCCACATCTTTCTATGACACTGGTGGTTTCGAACTGCCCACCTTTCAGTTATTAGCCAAGCACTTACCACTCACTGGGCCATCAGAGCTCCCTATTAAATAGTTAAGCAAAGAGAGAGTGAGAGAAAGAGAGAGGGAGATAAAATAATATGTTCGTGAATCTAAGTAAAAGAATATTCTTGGGTATTACCCCTTCAACTTTATGCATTTTCAAAGTTATAAAGCTGAGGAAAATAGATTCTTCATATACTAAAGATACACACCGAAATACTTACAAATAAAAGAAGATAATTTGTGATGTTTCCTTGAGAACACCCTGGGTATGCAGGGAGAATATATATGAAATAAGATTGGCCATGAGTTGTTAATGGTTGCAGGTGGGTGATGGATAATTGGAGGCTCCTTATACTATCCTCTCCTGCACAGTGGCTCTCAACATGTGGTGCTCCACTAGCAGCATCCGCATCACGTGGGAACTTGTTATAAAAGCAAACTCTGGGTCTTACTTCTGACCTTTTAATCAGAAACTGTGGGTGTGGGTCCCCACAATTTGTGTTTTAACAAACTTTCTAGGTGATGCTGATGCAAGCTAATGTTCCAGGACCACTGTCCAATTGTAATGAACCTGGATATCATTTGTAAGGTTTGTACACAAACTCTGTTTCTGTATCTTTGAAATTACCCACGGTACAACTTTTTAAAAAATAAAGAAAACACCTAGACCAGATGTTTTACTGGTCAAATTCTAACAAAGTTTCGACCAGATAATCCCAATTTTATACAAACACTGCCAGAGAATGTAAAAGAGTGACTATTCCCCAACTCAGTTTATGAGACTAGAAAACCTTGACCCTTGAGCCAGACAAAGAAATTTTAAAAAGGGAAACATCAAGCCAATCTCACTCATGAGCAGAAGATGCAAAAATCCTAAACAAAACTTTAGCAAAGTGAATCCAGCAGTATATACAAAAGATAATATGCAGTAACAAAGTCGCATTTATTCTAGGATAGCGAAGTTGGTTTAACATTATAAATATAAATAGAAGGGGGCATGATAGGGATGTGTATGTTCCTAAAACATTCTATTTCTTGCTCTAGATGCTGATTGCATGCACATGTTTAATTTTTGAAAATTCATTAAGATGTACACTTAGATTTTTATACTTTCCTGATTCTAAGATAAACTGGACTAAAGGTTTTGAAAAAATTATAAAGGAAACTCAGTACATTAATAGATTAATTGAATAGAGTCTTGATTGTGTCTATAGGGGTAAAAAATAAAATTCAACAGGTATTCATTATTTTAAAGTTAAACTTATTAAACTAAGAATAGAAGGGTACTTCCTTAATCTGATAAAGGAAAAGAAAGAAGAGGAAGGAGGGAGGGAGAAAGAGAGAGAGGAAGAGAGGGAGGAGAAATAAAATAAAAAAACAATGAAACACAGAAAACTAACTTTAGTAGAGAAATTTGGCAGCATTCTATTTAAAATCTGGAACAACCCAAAGAAGCTCAATTTTGCCATCTCTATTCCACCTTATACTGGATGCCCTAGCCAGCACAGTATGCCACCTGTAAGGTTATGATTATACCTCCAATATTCACAGCTTCACATATAGACAAATTATTAGATATAGAGTTTAGCAAGGAGCCTGGTGACGCAGTGGTTAAAGTGCTCAGCTACTAACCTAAAGGTCGACAGTCCTAACCCATCAGCAGCAAGAGAAAGATGTGGTAGTCTGCTTCTGTAAGGGTTTACAGCCTTGGAAATCCTATGGGATAGTTCTACTCTGTCCTACAAGGTCACTATGAGTCAGAATCAGCTCCGTGACAGTGGGATTTTTAGAGTTTAGCATGGAGGCTGACTTTAACGTAAATTTCATTTTGTAAATACCAAATGCATTTCTATGTTATAAACAAATAGAAAATGTCATTTAAAAAAAGATATCAATTAAAAGAGCAAAAAGATTCTAGAGTATCTTGGAATAAATATAATGAAAGATGTACAAGATCTGAATGTACAAAGTATAAAACTCTAAACCAAACTGAAACATTACAAGATTGAAGAATACTCACACAAATGGAGAGACTTCCCATGTTCATGGATAAGAAGGCTCGCTATCATACAGATAGCCAGTTCTCCCCTAGTTGATCTGTAGAGTCAATGAAAATGCAATTCAAATCTCAACTGGGTTTTCAGGGAACTTGACATGCTGATCCTAATATTTATAGGGAAGGGCAAAAGGCAGACATCAAGCCATATTATAAACATATAAAACTTAAGACAGTGTAGTATTGCCACTGGAACAGACAAATTGATTTATGGAACAGCACGTGGAGCTCAGAAACAGACCAACACAAATATGGGCCAAAATGTCTCCAGACATTGACAAATGTTCCCTGGTGGGTGCAAAATCCCCCCTGACTGAGAATCTCTCCACAGGAATTTGGATTGACCTTAAAAAACTATGCTAAAATTTTTGAAAGTAGATTACAGAATACCAACTACGTGAATTTAAAAAACGCATGCACACAAAATATTTCCCATCCAAAGGGGGAATAGCCTGGGAAACAAGCCTCAGGGAGCCCAAGGCTCAACTTCACTTCAGGCGCTACTTGGCTAGCCTAGTACATCCCGCCTGAGGAGAAGTGGGCACCAAGCGAGAGGGCGGGACTGCAGCGGGTGAGCTTCAGTGTATCCCGAAGCTCATTGGTCGCTGGCGACAGCTGTGGGAGGTGGGAAGGCAGCGCTGGAAGCTCATTGGCCCTTGGGGAAGGGCAGCAAAGGGGGCGGGACCTCAGGCCTCTGGCTCTCCCCTTTTCCTCCTCCTCTTCATCCCTCCCTGCTGATTGATTCCGAACTTCTGGAGGCTGGGGTAAAGGCAGGCTGGCATCAAGAATATGACCCTGGTCTCCACGCTTCTTCTTTCCTCCCCCCCCCCTTGCTCTGGATCCCCAATCCCTTCCCCTCTGCTCTTCCTCAGTGGGGCATCGCCACTCGCTCCTGAGGCCCCACTCAGATCCCCCCAACCCCACTCCCGTGGGACCCTTTGGGGAGAATCTCTTACCCCGTCCCCTCTGCCCAACCTCCTGGCCCCTGAGGCAAGGCTCCTGCCCCTCCTTTTGTTTCTGAGGTGGGAGCGGCTGCGAATCACTGAGCTGCCTGAGGAGGTGGTGCACTCCCTCCTAGGGTGGGAGGGTGTGCTCAAACATAATGGATGAAGCGTGAAGAGGAGCATAGAAGGTTGTTGGGAGACTCTAGGGGAAATGCTTGGGTTTGCAGTAAAGCAGAGAGGGCATGTTGATGCAAGAGAACAATTAGTGCAGTGTGGACACCTCTGTTGGCTAGAGCAGTGCCTGGCACACGCAGGGGTATCAACAGACATTTGTTGAATGAATAATCGAGGGAATGAATGAAAGGGTGAACGAAAATGAAAATAATTATTGAAAGAGAGCCTGGGGATCCAAGAGAATAACATGATTTCATGGAGTGCAAGAGAGTATTCGGCTTAAAAGGGTAGCAAGAGAATAATCAAGATTCAGGTGGGGTGCAAGAAAAAAATCAGAAAAGAATGTGAAGAGAAAATGGAATGTAGGGCATACATGAGACTTATAATAGAACTGAGTGCCAGCCGAAAACCAAACCCGTTGCCACGGAGTGGATTCCGACTCATAGTGACCCTAAAGAACAGAGTAGAACTGTCCCATAGGGTTTCCAAGGAGCGCCTGGTGGATTCGAACTGGGAGCCTTTTGGTTAGCAGCCCTAGCTCTTAACCACTGCGCCACCCGAACTGAGTGCAGGGGGCATGAAATCCTGTGTAAGGAGTGAATGAATGCAGCAGGTTCATAAGACAATTGCTGAAGAGGATGCCAGGAATAGTAGGTGGGTTTAGCAGAGTGCAGGATGATACAAGAGAACGGAAGTGTACTAATTGTTGAAGGGGGCAAGAGAGTGTATGTGTATTCCTGAAAATGGGATCTATGTGGACCGAAGGTAAGCAAAGGGAATACTTCCGAATTGAAAGGGTACAGGACCCATGCCAACAGTTTCTTGGCAGGAGACTATGCATGGGTGGGGCTTCCTGGGAAGGAGGCTACATGAGGAAGGTGGGGGTGAAGGTTGGAGAAAGCAACTAGGGAAGAAGGGAGGGTGAAATGTGAGTCCAGTGGTGAGCAGGATGGAGAAGAATCCAGCCACCTCAGATGGGGTGTTGTGGGAGTGTTGGGGAAGGGGGGTGGCTCACATGGCCATTCTGACCTCTGTTCCTGGTCCTAGAACCATGGAACCCAATGAAATACCTGCTGTGCCCTGCTGCTCGTCTGACTCCACCACTGTGAGTGAGATCGGAGCCCCATGGGGGATTGAGCTTGTCCCCAGAAGAGCTGTAGGTCACCATGCCCACTGCAACAAACACCACATCACTGCCCAATTCAGGAGCCACAAATGCTTCTGCCTCTTCCAGGCCTGCGAGTGTTACAAGTGTACCCTCCGCTTGTGAGTATGGGTTCTGACAAGGGGAAGGATAAGGGCCTCCTCTAAGTCTGACTGACCTTAGACCTGAAATCCCCGTTTAGGGATCGACGAAAACTCTTGCCTGCTGCAAGTGCCTTGAAGAGGGAGCAGGGGCCACAGCTAAAGAGGCAAATGGCTCAGGAACTGATAATGAGTGGGACCACCCCTCCCAAAGTTCACAGCCATGTCAAGAAGTTGGCTATTCAAGCAGGAGTCCTCAGTAAGTGTCTCTGGCCAGGGAGGGAGACTGGTTTTGGGTGTAGGAATCATGACTAGGCGTTCCACCATTCCTACCACAGAATTGCAGTGTGGTCTTGGGCAAGTTACTTCTGTTCCCTGGGCCTTAGCTTCCCCAACTATAAAATGCCACCAAGATGGTCTACCAAGTGTTTACAGGAGAGAGAAATCTAGGAGTAGGAAAGGTCCTTGGGGAGATGAGACCTCAGATCCAGTGTGGGGGGAGTGACGTGGGGTCAGGGGAAAAGGCTCACCAAGCTGTCCCTGATCTCTCACAGCTAGGAAGGAGAACCAGCCCCAGCCTGAGGCCCACCCCCAGGCAGCCTCCAGGGAGGTAAGGAGAGTCTGGACCCAGGCAGGGATGCTCCCTCCCCAGCCACTTCCTTTGTGCCATGAAGACCTGGGTTCCATCTCCAACCCTACCCCTGACTTGCTATGTGACCTTGGGAAAACCACTTCTCCCTGGGTGTCAGTTTCTCCAGTTGCAAAATGAAGGGTGGGACTGGCTGGTCTTTAAGGTATTCCCAGCTCCGATAGTTTAGGCTCCTATCCCCATCCCTCAACGTGCCCACTACTCTTCTTCATGTCCACCCTTGTACCTGACTCCAACCTGTGTTCTCTGCCCCTGCAGGAGAGTTCCCATGGGGCTCTGGTGTTCAACCAGCCTCCAGAACCTTTGTCTCTCCCCTGGACTCTACCACCCTTGGAGCAGCAACTCACAGTTTCTCTTTCCAGGGAGCCCCATGGGCCCCCTGACCCACCCAGCACGTGAGTAGAGAGAGAAGGAGCATGGAGCTAGTTGTATATTATGTTATTGTGTGCCCACCTTTGCTGGATGCCATGGGAGATAAGAGAGGAAGAAGGCAGGTGAAAAGAAGAGTAAGAAAGTAGTAGAAGTCTTCCCAGACTAACAGGAAAGGCAGGGCTCTCTCAGCTTTGCCATTTCCTATTTATGACACTTTCGACAAGTGACTTTCTGTCTTGGAGCCTCCATTTCCCTATCAGTATGGTGGGGAAAATATACTACACCTGTAGCATTGACAAGAGGACTATACAAGGCCTGCCACACAGTAGGCCTTCAACAAATGGAGGCTGTTATTCCACATGAAACATATTGGTGGGATAGAAAAACCTGCTAAAATGAGGATCCACGATGGTGAGGGCCACAGAGACTCGGTGGAGAGGCCAGTTAGAAAAAGCTTCCTAGAGATAATCCAAGCTGGTCCTTTAAGTCCCATGGGGATTGGTGAATATGGGTGCAAGAAACCAGGCCTTTGATAGGGACAATAATCTCATTCCTCCAGGTGCTTTGCAGATTGAAACACAGACATCTATGATTTCCCATAATCATCACTGCTGCCCTGGGAGGAAAAAGCTGGCAGGACTTAGTGTCTCAGAAAATATATATAGAAAGATACAGAAAACAGGTCAAGCAGTAGAAAGGACTTGCCAAAGCCACAGCGACTAACTGCCTAGCAGACAGTCAGACTCCCACATCTGGATATTGTGAAATCCTGCACCTCTCTCTGTCTACTGTTGGTATGTATTTGCCAGAGGGTTTAATTCTTTGGCCTTTCCTCTCCTTGTTTCTAGATCCTCAACCTTCCAGCCCTGTGCCATCCTTGAACCTCTTCTACTGCAGTCACAGGTTTTGGGAAAGAAGTGGGATCCAGAACTCTGGGAGGGGCCAAGCTTAGAGCAAGGGATGAGCAGAAGACCTGGGTTGGGGAAACACGAGGGAACTGGGGGCTGAAGGGGCACTTGGAGTGTGGGGAGGGATGGAAGTTCCCAGACCCCTTATCTCACACCCTTTTCTTTGCAGGCCCTGGAAGCCTCTGATCAGGCCTTGATGTCTGCCCCCTTAGAGTGGCAGCGGAAACTGGAGGCAGCAGAGGCCCTGCTAACTCTGAGAAACTCTTCCCGGGCCCCTTCTGGCTCTATCTCCCTGCCTCAGTCCTGTGGCGCACCAGGTAACTTGCTCCTTAAAAGGAGAACACAGGTTGGGGATGCTTGGGAAATGGTGGAGAGGGTAGGGGAAGCATTGTGGTAAGAAGTGACTATCTGTGAGAGCAGAGTCAGTGGGTTAAAACCCCTTGGGCCCAGGCATCCAAGCTCCTCAGTCTGGTCCCTGACATGGCAGTTGAGGGTTGTTCAGTGAGTCATTAGTTTATAGAGCTTGACAGCAAATGTGAAATGCCCTGATGTCAAGAAACAAGGAAACTCTGTGAGAAAGTTTTAGAGAGTGGCAGGGACTTGCCCTAGGACATGAAGCATATTAGTGGAAGAACCAGGTCTCTTGATTCTCAGCCCAGGTTTCTCTACCCAGACTCCTGCTGTAGGCTGAGGTCTGGAAAGGGCATACCTAAGTGATGAGGGCCTAGTTGGAAGGGGTTCTGGACCCTGCCTTCAGGGAACTTTCAGTCTAGATGGGGAGTCTGGATGTTTTCACAAGCTATATTTTGCAGCTAAGTCTCAACAATGAACCCAGAGAGAAAGGGCTATAAAAGTGCTGACAAGAAATAAACACCAGAGGAAGCCAAGAGGGAAGACTGGGCATTCTTAGACCAAAATGGTGGATGAAGCATGGTGTATGAGTGAGGAAACAACCCTGGAGGAACTGCTAGAACAGAGGGGCATGAAGCTGAAGAGGTCTGGAATGCCAGGCTTAGGAGTCTAGACCAGCACCTCTGGATGGTAGGGAGCCAGGGAATGTTTCTGAGCTAAGGAGGTGCATATTCAGAGACCCTGGACTTGACAAAGAGAAATGCAGTGGCTGTGACGGAGGGATTGGGGGAGGCAAGACCGGAAATGGGGAAATCAGTGAGGAAGAGGTCTGTACAATAGTCCAGGTGATAATAATGAGGCCTTGACTGAGTGGCACAGTAAAGAGGGGAGACCCTGGAGAGGAAATGGATGTGACTTGGCCCTGACCCCTTCCTTTCTGTCTACAGCTCCTGCTGAAAATAGCGGACTACAGCCTCCCAGCCACTCTTTTTGACCCAGGCCAGCCAGCTCCTTTTCTCTGCCTGTTGGGCATCTGGGGTGCATCTCCTTCCTGAACTAAAAGCTTAGAGGAGGAGGCTTCACTAGAGCACTGTCTATTTGGTATTTTATTTATGAATTTGTAAAATGTTTAATGTCTGTTTTTTAAGCCCTCAGGTGCTTTTATAAGCTTTCAAACCCTTTTATCATATGGGGTAATTCTTTGGCTGAGAATGGATATTCTTGTACCTCCACCCTTTACTCTTTTAGTTCTTGGGGACTTTTTATACCTCTTGTAAAATAAGGTTGTGCAATCTAAGCTGATCAGTCTCTAATTAGGGTTCTGTGTGCATTCACACGCCAGAGTATTTATTTGACTTGTGATTTCAGATATACCTGTGCATTCATGTACGTGTCCATGCATGTGAAGACATGAGTAGTTTCCATTTTGTGTCTCTGTTTGTATGTGTGGACAAATAATAAAGTGCTTGTTGTTGTAAGCCACTGAGATATAGGGGTCATTTTTTTACCACAGTATAACCTGGACTCTCCTGACTCTAACAGACTTGGTAAATTCACTTTGCAAAGTGAGACTAGCCTTATTCAATAACTGGCCAGATAAGAAAATGGTAGTAGAAAAAGTGTAGGAGATTTATTCATTCAGTAATTAGGCACCTACTCTCTGCCTGGCATAGACTGTTTTCCAGTTGTCTAAAAATCCAAGCCTGCTGCCATTGATTTGATTCTGACTCATGGTGAGCCTATATGTTACAGAGTAGAACTGCTCCATAGGGTTTTCTTGGCTGTAATCTTTATGGAAGCAGATTGCCAGGCCTTCCTTCCACAGCATCATTGGGTGGGTTTGAACCGCCAACCTTTAGGTTAGTAGTCAAGTGCAAACTGTTTGTGCCATCCAGTGACAGGGCCATAAATTGAAATGCTTACAATGTCAAGAAAATCATATAAATGAGTAGAGCAGGCCAAATGGGCTCAGGCCAACTGACTTGCATACTCTACCTAACGGGGGCAACAGCCACTTGGCTCTAGCTACTAGTTGCCATGCAGGAATGATGCCCCCGTCTCCTGATTTTTCAAGAGAACATGGAATTTTAGATTTGTCTGTAAAATATCTCAGTTTTTCAGTGCTAGCTCAGGTTTCTTCATTAAGCCCAATACGTGGGTCAAACAAAACATCAATGCAGGCCAACTTTGGCTAATGGAATACCAGTTCTATTCTGTTCTAATGTGTATGTTACGGTGGGGAAAACTGAGGCCAATCAAGACAAGAAGAATCAAAGCGGGAAAGTGAATTAGACCCATATTCCACCTTTGAAGGACCCATGAATGACCCAAATCATTATCGTTTGCTTATTCTGTGCCTGCTGTATGCTAGGCACGTATAGCCTCACAGCAACTCTGTAAGCTAAGGACTGTTATTCCTATTTTACCTATAAGGAAAGAGACTCAAAGAGTAAAAGTGGCTAGCACAAGTGTTTTAGAGGACATTTTTAGCCAAAGATTGGGGGAGACTCCCTTCTCTTTGCCAGGCCCTAAATTAGCCAATAACTTATTTTTATAGAGCACTGAATGAAGGATTAAGAACATGAAGTGGCATCAGACAGAAGAGTTTTTCAAAAGTAGTCCCTTTATTTCTCCTCCAGGTGACAATAGAAACCAATACAGATCTTACCTGCACTCGTTTCTCAGTTCTCTGCTGATGTTCTAAACATATGAAGAACTGGAGACCACCACCAGACAGTCCAGTTGGACATGTCTGGTCACTAACTCTTTCCTGTGACGTTCTGTCCCTCCACCCATCCCTCTTTTTTACTCAAAATGACTGACAGTGATGACACCCAATTATAACTTGTCTTTTCCTGTTTGAGACCTTGAGGAGGCAGGCTTCTTATACTCCCTATCTGATGCCAGAGAAACAAACACTCAAAATCACTCAGGACTTAAAGACCAAAGTCCATCTCAGTCCTTCCTTCCATCCCCGATTTGTTACTCAAATAAATGCTCACTAAAGCCACATGGCCACCGTGCCCTCCCAGTGATAGATAACCAAATCCACATATTCACAGAGGAAGGAAACAGTGTTACCTGGGAAAGGACTAAGACCCTGCTATGCAATTTTGTCCTAGGCACACGGAGGTCCCACAGCTGCATAGCTGAGTTGGGTAAAAGAGAAAGTATACTTTGGGCTAAAGGGTGTGGTAAGAGATGATGGAGGAAAAAATAAATAAAGTGATGGACGTTGGGAGAAGGAGTTACCCCCTTTTTCCTGGGCCCTTCTATTTTTCTCTGGTCCACCTTCCAGTCCATGCCATAACTTCTGTCTCCTGACTCAGAACTCTTCCCATAGCACCTCTGTGTCTCTCCATAGAGATAAAGAAGTGATTCTGCACCCAAGAGAAGCAGGCCCAATAAAAGAATGGGAAAATGGGGATTAAATGTATGTTGGAGATTTCCAGTGGAATTCATTTTTCTAGGCTTCTCCTGTCAACAACCCCAGAGTTCCTTGAGGGATGGCTATGGGTAAAAACAACCATATTTATCCAACCCTAGCACTGCTTTGCAATATAGACTTTCTCCCAAGTCTTGCCAGTGTGCTTGATCCGGTAGGACTTGAACCCTCCATGCTGACCAGTCTCAGCAGCAACTGAATCCTGCTCCTTGTGGAGCAGACAACGCAGAACCTGGGGACTACCTTCCTCTGACTTACAGCTTTGCTGCTACCTGCAGCTGCCTGCTTCCTGAACACCACCCACCAGCACACTGAGTCCTTGGGGCATCAACAACCTTACTGGAGCTAAAGATTGACTGGACATCTTTGAACACTAGTATGGACTTCTGGTCCTATTCCCCTTCACTACGAATCAGTATCTTCTGGATTCAGGTCTGCCTGGACTGCCTTCTTCCTCCTCCCCATTGCACTGGGGAAGTAGGCTCAATAAAAGACTGTACCTGTGGGATGTGACCACCGCTGCCAAGGGATATGCTTCCCAATGACAGACTTCCCCAGGATCAGCTCCAGGCCAAAGAAGATTTAGGCAGGGCTGACAGCCAGGACTTCATGTTCCAGCCTCTCCTGGAGAAGCAGAGATGTGGTGCTGAACCCTCCCACCGAAACAGGGCCCACCTCCAGGGCATATACGGGAGAGGAAGGGTTCTTGGGGTGTCAAAAAGAGGGGATGGCATTGGGAGAGCATTTCAAAGGGGAACCTGGAGCAACCAAGTAGAACAGGGAACTTCTCTGAAGTTGTGTGGTCTGCAATCCAGGATGTCAGCCAGTCAGGAGGCAGGAACTGGATAATCTGAATACCATGAAGAATTATAAATTTTGGGAACTTGGACAGTAACACGGCAGATGGGTTCTAGTGTAAAGTCTTTCCTGACCTACTTGTGTTCCAGAACTTTTGAAGATATGCACTTTATTTTACTTCAGTACTGTGGCAAGAAACTACTAGGAGGTCATCAATCCATGTTGACTTTTTCTCCTGGTTGCACAGTGAAATGACATTTTTCAGGTTCCCCTGCAGCTAGGTGGGGCTTTGTGACGCCAATTCAAGGTCTTCCCTGAAACCTCTCGCTCAATTCTCTACACCAGCTTTCTTTCCTTGCCTGCCATCAGGAAGCAAAAGATCCACTGGAAGACCCAGGGGTCCTAGTAGACAAAGGTGCCACTAGATGGATGCTGCAGCCGGCCTGGTTGTCTGAATGAGTGGACAGAGCAGTGCCCTCCACTCATCACTGTCTCAAAATTGACTGGGACTAAGTAAGTAACAAATTTATGCTAAGCCACGGAGGTTTGGGGTGGTTATTGTTATAGCTGTGAGCCTGTCCTTAGTAATAAGAGTTCAAATGAGTCAACATGGTTCTGGTTAGTGATCATATTTACAATTAATGATCCTATTTTCAAGTTGGGATTATTGCAAATAATGTTGCTGTGAACATTTTTGTACATTTTTTTTAATTGCGCACTTGCATACATTTCTGTTGGGCATATACCCAGGAGTGGAATTGCTGGTTCACATGATATGTATTTCTTTAGGTTTAGATGGAAATGCCAAATAATTTTCCTGATTTTAATTTTCCTTTCTCTTCTTGATTACTAATGAAAAGAAGTACCTTGGTTTATGTTCATTGGCTCTTTGGATAGTCTCTTTTGCCAGTTTTACTACCAAGTCATTAGTGTTTCTCGTTTTTTTTTTTTTTATAAGAGTACTCTGTAGATTCTAATAGGATTCCTTTCCCTAAAATACATGTTGCTAATGTTTTCACCCATTCTCTCACTTTTCTTTTTTAAAAAATGGTGGGTTCTTTAATTTGGATGTATGTTCTTGCTGTTTTATTTAATTCTCGCAAGAGTTTTGTGAGCTTGGTAATACTAAACCAACTATACAGCTTAGAAAACAGAGGCTCAGAGAGGTGATTTGCCCCAGAATTCTAACATGGAATCCTAGGCTAGATACACAGGACTCTAAGGCCAGTGGTCATTCCCCTATGTCTCGCTGCAAGCAGGAGGACACTGCTCTGCTCCCTGGGGATGAGACAGAGGGACACTTCTAGCACTGCCTTGGGGAGACAGTGGACTGTGACATCTCGGAGAGCAGGGACAGGTCTGTTCTTGTTCAGCATGGTATATCCTCAGCACCTAGAGCAGAGCCTGGCACAGAGTAAGTATGTGTTCAGCAAAGCCTTGCTGAAGAGTTCATGAAGTTCTCTTCAAGTCCCTAAGAGGAGCTCCTTATTTCCAAGTAGCTTCAGGAAAAAGGAAGGGAAGCCCTGGAGAGTGATCCTCACACTGGTGTCACAGGGAAGCTCAGTCCCCAAGAAAATCGGAGTAGAGAGGATGGGTCAGTCTCTTGTGGGAGTGGTCCTCAAGAGTTTGCTCGCTCCTAGGCAGGCTGACAGACTAGAAACACCTGCAAAGCTGAGGGCCCCACTTGGGACTCAAGGATATGCAACAACTCCCCAAATGCTGTAAAAATATAGTCATACTGTGATTTGTTGGTGGTCCTCATGAGGTCACCTCAGCCATCATTCTGGGTCTGAATGCTTACTGTTGGGCCTGCTCCTTTGGGTTAGACCAATGATATGTTTTCCTCTTCATAGCCTCTACTATCATTTAGCAGACATGAAAAACCTACCAAACCTTCAAAGTGCCTCTACATTCCCAATGAGAAATGCCCAAGTTTGCTGCATATCTCTAATCAAACATCACGTTTCTCTTCTGTGCTTTAGTCCAAGAACAGCCACATGGTGTAAAGCCCAGGATTAGGACATTTTGCCTCACAAAGACCTCGAGTCTTTTTGC